CACTTCCCTTTGGGGAGTAGGACTCCTGACCTGCCCCCAACATAACTCATTTCTCTGAATGGTGGCTATATTCTAGGCTAAGCCGATTAATGTCTTTATAACAGTTGGCTAATGTTTGTGTCGTGCCTCTCTGTTTACATCTAACTTTAAAGTGTGTCACCTCATGCTCATCTGTAACTCTCGGTTCTTTCTAATCATTTTCTCAGCAGTACATTTAGTTATTAATCAGTTTGATCAGTTTCTTAAGGAGAGAAGTTCTTGGCAGTTATGTTTGCATAACTATACCTGGTACAGAGTCTCACTTTCTCTTCCCTGTTCCTTTCCTTCAAATTTGTTTAGAACCTGTAATATGGCAAATAAGATGGACATTCATAAGTGAAATGTTGTTAAAATAACACGAAAATTAATTTTGCTACACAGAATAACATCGTGTGTGGTAACAAGGATAGGATAATGAAAGTAACATATAAGTTATGTATTGCTTCTTGCTTATATCAAATCACTGCAACTCCAAACCTTATTGTTAAATCATCTCAATTTAAAATACCAATTTGGGGACTTGGGGGTGATAATCATGAAATACTAGATGATTCTCACCAGAGATAATATATTTTTAAAGAGCAGAGTGAATATAGTACAGATATTTATTAGGTTTCACAATTTGCCATATGTTATTGTGGCTCATTTTGTTGGTAATTTAAGTATTTGTAAAATTTTTGTTTTTATCTAGGCATCACATGTTCAAATAGTTTTACATAGATAATTTCTCTAGAGCATGTTTTTGTCAACCACAGGGATTCACTTAATTGAATACAGCTCTCCTAATTATGTTCATCTGATGGTTCTGAAATTTCCATTGATACACATCCTTGAAGCTTTTTACATAATAAGAATCCTATTTTCAGAGAGGAGTTTGTGCAATGATTTTTAAAGACACACGTTTTAATGTCCAGTCTATAGCATTCTCCACTATAGAATTTAGGTTTCCTATATGGTTCTAAAGAGAGGTAGTATATTTTTTGGTAACATCTTCTTTTTCTGAATACCTTAATATTTTGTTTTTATCTCTCTCNTAGTTACAAAGTTAACATATTGTCTTGGTCAGCTCAGTCTACTCTAATAAAATACTAGACTGAGAGGGCTTAAACAACAGAAACTTACTTCTCACAGTTCTGGAGGCTGGAAGTTTGAGATCAAGGTGCCGGCCAATTTGATTCCCAGAGAGAACTCTCCCTGGCTGGTCGGGATTGCCTTCTCTCGGCCTTCTCACATAGTGGAGAAGCCAAGCTCTCTCCTGTCTCCTCTTAGAAGGACACTAATCCTGTAAGATCAGGGCTCCACCCTTATGACATCATGTAACTTTAATTGCTTCCTTACTTCAAATACAGCCATACTGGGGGCTAGGACTTCAGCATATGAATTTTGGGAGGGATACAATTCAGCCCACAGCACATATTAAAACTACAGGAATGTGAGAAGTAGAAAGTGAACTATCCTATAACCTGAACCCACAGAGATGACCTCACTTTATAGTTGTTCAGCTCTTTCCATATTTTCCAGCATGAATACTTTTCTGTGTATGTGTGGAGGGTACACACAAGGTATGCATGTTAGTATTTATAATTGTATTTTAAATATTTTTCTGTAATCTAACATTCTCACTTAGTAGCACTTCATGAATTTTTCACAGTAGAGAAATACAATCTTTTTTTTTTGAGTGTTTACACAGTAATAAATTTTTATAACACTGCGTGGATACCATAGATTCCTTTTTACAACTTGTTTTTCATATAAAATGTAGCATGTAAAATCCTTCTAGGTGAAAATGTGCATATTTTCTTCATTTGTTTTGGATGCTACATCAGCATTCTATTTTATTAACATACCACAACTGATTAGACCATTCATTCCTTTCTTGATGGATATTAAAGTCATTTGTAATATTGCAGAGGACGTCCTCTCCATTTATTTCTAAGCACTTACATAACCAGAGGGTAGATTTCTAAGTAATTGAATATGAATAGTTTGATAAATATTGCCAAAACGACTTTTGGGCAATGTACATATGTGACACATCGTTTATTAACCTGGCTCTTATCACTTTACATTTTTAGCAAATGTTACAGATAAAAATGAGAGATGATTGTTTTGATTTTTCATTCTGTTATTTTTTTGTGAGTTTGAGTAATATCACATTTACTTATGTAATTCTTTCTTAATTCGGTTATCTGCCCGTACTCACTGTTAACCTAGCTTTTAATTTACTTATAGTTTTCATTTTCTTTGCAGAACTCATTTATTATTGGGATACTAAATTATTGTCTTTATCTTTTCAAATTGTTGTCTTTTGATTTTATTTATAAATGATCGATAAATGAATGAATGAATGATAAGAAAGATAAAAACTGTAAATTAAAATACAATGTGGTAAGTTTATAATAGACAAATACACAGGCCACTATGGGATCATAGAAGAATAACATCTAAAGCAAACTGGAAGGTAAGAGAAGGCCACCTGCCCAAGGTCAAACTTGAGCTGTGCTTTAAAATGACTAGAAATCATTAAGTCAAAGAAGTTGAAAAGTTGTTCCAGGAAGAGAATGCAGTAATCCAAATGCAAGAGCAAGTTCTATTCTGGAAATTATAAATTTTTCACGGTGCCTAGAGCAAAAGGTACTGTACAGAGAGATGGGGCTACAGAGGTGAAAAAGGGCAGATTTCCAAATGGCTGGGTGTATGAAGAGAAGGCACTTGAGCTTTGCCCTGAAAACTTGGGGAGGTACTGATATTTCTAGTTTTGGATTTTAGGAAGACTATTCTCTTACAAGTATGAAAATTGGTTTAGAAGGAATCAGTCTAGAGGCAGAAAGACCAGATTGTGGTCTAGCTAAGGTAGGAACTAATCTTTTCATTGCTGTAATTATGGAGAGTGGAAAATGAAACCTTTAAAGCTTTCTCTGTAATTGGAATTGAGTTAACTCTGGAAAAATATATGCCGGCAAGTGGGGAATGATCAGAGCTAGAAGGGCTTCCCATTTTCTTCTGTAGACAGATGCTTTGGTATTATTTGAGTTTTCATTTTTTTATCAAGCATAGACTTTAATAATAATTCTTAAAGCTCATCAGTAACAGATGGGAAAGATTAAGAAATTTATGTGATAAGTACTGACTACCTTGGTAAACCACCAAATCAGTATGAACCCAAATTTTAATATGGTTGCTGAAAACTGGCATAATAATACTTGGTTATGTTAGTATTTTCTAAGTTTTCTAATAAAGAGTGTTCATGCTCTCCTTTGTAATAGATTATATCTGGAACCATGTGTTCACAATATTGGATCATATTCAGGAGATAGGAACCATGAGTGAAATGACTTAAAAACATATTATAATCATAAGGAACTAGTAAAGAAAACGGCATGTTATGCCTGTAGCAGTTCAGACAAGATATTTGACTCTAGTTATTGGTTATGTATTATGCCAAAGAGAAATAAGATGTATTTCATTAACTTTCTATTAGAAATAGGAATGAGGGGTTGGAGTGGTAGAAGGGCAGATTTTGATTTAAAAGAAGGAAATTGAATGGTGTCAAAATTTTTGTACCTAAAAAACTGGTAATTCTGATGTTTTGCCAGCTTCTTATAAACTGGCAGATTCTGCAGCATTCATTCGTTCATTTAGTACTTATGGCCAATTGTATTGTGATAGATTTCATAAAGTTCAGCCATATTTACTTGTATGCAAAGTCATTTAATAAGTTTGCATGATTTTTATTTTATTTTTGTTAAACAAAACTGACATGTTCATTTTTTTAGGTTGGTTATGTTAGATCTGTTTCTGTGTTTTCTAACTAGCATACCAAGGGTAGTATTAATAATTGGTTTTTAAAGTATTAAATAGTTCATTTTCTGAGCATTACTGGATCTCTCTCCAGTTTAACCATTGACACCTTCTCCTGTCACACACTGTGTGTAAGCCTGACTTGCCACTCCGGTTCTCCATGGTGTTAACATTCATTGACGTTTTCTCACTTACAGCTACATCTTCTCACTAATACAGATAGACTGGAATCTGCTAAAAGAGAGAACTGCCCTCCATGGTCTAGTTCAGTGTAGATAGCAAATACATCAGAAGATGAAATTTTAGTTCCATGCTGTAGATTTTGGATCCTGGTGCCGAGGCAGACAGTAATCGCCCTACAATCCTGCGTTAGGTTAACTGGCTTATGAAGTATGCTCTACTATTGCATTGCCTTGGGCTGCTGGTATGGCTGTAAAGCCTACCAAAGGCAACCAATTCATGCTCTTCTGGTGAACTGATTTACTTCCAAGACTTCTAATGTTTAAACTCTAGGAAAATACTGCTTCCTTGACAGAATTTGGCACTCATTTTGCAAATATGCACAAGTTCTTTGACCGGAAAGTAGACATATTAGGGTTCTCCAGAGAAATGGAACCACTAGGATATTTATATAAAAATAAATATCTAGAGATACAGGAGAGATTTATTGTAAGGAATTAGCGTATGTGACGATGGAGACAAACAGGTGGCAGGATCTGCAGGTGAGTTGGAAAATTGGAGAATGGATGGTGTGGGTCTAGTCCGATGGCTGGCAGTCTCAAGATTCAGGAAGGGTCAGTGTTTAAGTTCAATTCCAAAGGCAGCAAAAAAAGCCATGTCCCAGTTTGAAGGCAGTCAGGCAGGAAGACTCCTTACTCAGGGGAGGGTCAGGCCTTCAACAGACTGGATGAGGCCCACCCACATCAGAGTGGGCAAGCTGCTTGACTTGAAAGACCCTTTGAAATGTTAATCTCATCCAGAAACACCCTCACAGAAACATGTAGCGTAAGATCTGACCAAATATTTGGGCCACCCATGAGCCAGTCAAGTTGACACAGAAAATTAATGTCACAGCAGAATTCACAGATCAGGTGTGACTGTTGGTCATCAGTGTTCATTGCATGTTATCTGTTTTGTCTTTCTTTCTTTCTTCTACCCAGGAATTATTTACTTAACATCAACTCTTAGTCATTTGGAATCTACTACCCTTTCATTGACGGTCTGTGCTCGAGATGGTGGCGGGCTCACATCTGTCATTAATGCTGACATCACTATACACATTCTTCAGACATCTCTGGCACCTGCTGAATTTGAAAGGCCGAAGTACACCTTCTCAGTCTATGAAGATGTGCCTGAAGACAGTCCTGTGGGAACAGTGAAAGCAAAAGAGTCCTTGAGTAAGTACTTCCTATGCTCTGTTGAAATCCATTATTGGAACATTTCCTGTATTTTCTTAGGTTTTACAATCTTGAATATATCTTTCCTTCTCTCCACATAAAAAGAAAGCAGACCACACAATCTATGGCTTGTCCTTTGTTCTTTCAACATTATATCTAGCCTGTAATTTATTTTTCTAATTACAAAAGTAATAGGTACTTTTAAAAGAAAGTTTAAAACAATACATAGTAATTGTAATGTTGAAAGTACTTGCCACCTATAACACACATACATGCACACACGTACCTTTTAATTTTTTATGAAAATACATCCTATTACATTTGTTTTCTACAACTATCTTTTTTCCCTATTTTGTATGTGTGTACAGTTTTCTGAGTAATTGGTCCTCATTTTGTCTCATTTAAAACAAGGTTGCAAATATTTCAACTTAGATATAAAACATTTTATATCCCTGTTGCTATTAATTTGAATATCTACAGTCATTTTTGCTGGGCCAAACTGTACTCAAGCAAATGTCCTTGCAGAACTTGGAAAAGTTTCTCTGCAGGATAAATTCCTAGGAATGAAAGAGTGCCTAAAGACCTCTCCTGCCCCTAGCCCCTCGTTTTGTGTCCTTGCTCCCTTCCCTTAACTTTTGAGGAAGGCATTTGTCATTCACAGGTAGCTGTCACAGAGAAACATCAACATAAACTAAACTTGGCTCCCTCAAATATAGAAAACACTTGTCCAAATTATCTTCTGAGTATCTTTCCCTTTTACTTAATGCAAGAAGAATGAATGAAGACAGTGAAATGTGTGGCTTCCTCCCTGTCCATTGGACATTACCTTTGTCCATGAAAACATCGCAAATCAGCAGGCTTTGATTGCTGAGGAACGTGTAAGACGTTGCATAGCATTCTCCATGGATGTAGCACACATTAATGTTCAGTTTTCAGTGTTTCCAGTAGATACGTTTTGGCATATAGTAACTGCTTTCTCTTTTCTTTTTTTCCCCAGATTCTTCAGAGCCAATTTTTTATAGAATCTCCTCTGGTGATCCGGATGGAAAGTTCTCTATTCACCAGTGGCTAGGCACCATTCGAACCCGGAAGCCTCTGGATCACGACACGCAGCCTGTGGTTGTGCTCACGGTGCAGGCGCAGCTCGGCAGCTCCCAGGCCTGCAGCAGCACAGAAGTCAACATAACGGTAATCGATGTCAATGACAACCAGCCCGTGTTCCCCAAGGCCGCTGATGAGATTAAAATACTCTTGGCCACACCGCCGGGCACAGCCCTGTACTGTGCCCGCGCAGAAGACAGAGACAGTGGGCGGAATGGCTTCATCCGATACGCCATTGCAAGCCAGAATCCAAGCTGCTTTTCCATGGACTCAGGGCTTGGTGTGGTGTACCTCAACGAGAGTCTGGGAGGGGACGCGCCCCCGAAGTGCACGCTGACGCTCATGGCCCAGGACCTGGGCGTTCCTCCTAGGGCTTCCCTGCTGGTGCTGACTGTAGTCATCGAAAGACAAGAGCAGAGCCCATCCTTGTTCTTTGAAAATTTGGTCTATCAAGTGGAAGTGAGTGAGTCTCTCTCACTGATGACCCAGGTACTGCAAATACAGGCCTACGGGCTTGGTGCACAGCACGCAGCCTCGCAGCCTCAGTACTCGCTGGAACCCAGCACAGACTCAGCCATGTTCGGCCTCCACCCTTACACAGGCTGGATTTATTTGTGGCGACAGCTCGACTATGAATCCGCACGAACATATAATTTTAGAGTGTTTGCCTGGATCCCGGAGGACAGAGTGTCACAAAATGTGAGCACTTCAGTAATTGTTCATGTCTTGGATGAGAATGACAATTCCCCTACCTTCCTGCATGAGGTGTTGTTTTTGAAGGTCGAGGAAAGCCCCTTTCCCCAAGGGGTAATAGGCAAAATTACAGCAATTGACAGAGACTCGGGAAAGAATGGACAGCTGTCATATTTCCTTTTGTCTGATGGAAAATTCTTCAAGATGAATCCTAATACAGGTAGCATTTTGTAGCTTCCACTTACTACTTTAAAATTGGAATTGACTCAAATATTTTAGTTCCAAAGTGGAAATTACACTTTTTAATAAATGCTTTATTTGATTATAGTATTGTGATTTTAAAACAAAGTAAAGATTGAATATAATATTACCTACAGTGATTCATACTTCTCTTACCTCATACCCACATTTTGCCAATATATGGTTCATATTCTGAATTAGAGGTGCAGTCAGAACCAGACTGAATAAATCCTTGTATGGCCTCTAATTTCCCCCTCCAAATTCTTTTTCATATGTAGATTTTTGTAAATGTCAAATAATATTTTATAAGATATAAATGTCATTGATGTATAGCTAGAAAATAATCTACTGGTTAAGATTTCAAAATCACTGTATGGATGTATGTCTCCATTCTCATTTTGTTAGGGAACCATGATAAAAGGGCAAATAGTTACACCAATTTTGTTCAAGTCCTAATTGTTAAGTATAAAAATGGTATGTTTTAAAATTTGTATTGTACAGTCTATAAGGACTTTATTTAATTCCTGCAAGCACCTACAAACAAAATATGTTTTTACTGCAACCTGATGGCTGGGGAAACTGACTTAGATAGCTCAAGTAACATGCCCAAGGTCATGGAGCTAGTGAGAGGAGGTCACCACTTTGTGCAATTCCTGGAAGCACCACTATGTTGTAGCCTTTGTAAATGTTGTGCCTGCCCCATAGTGGGACAGAATTTGAATTCAGTTCTGATTAACTTCAGGCCTTTAGTCTAAAGTGCTTGTAGTGTGAATTAGGCAGCAGTGCCCCTTCGACCAGCAGGTGGAGCTTTACACCAGGGCATGTGACTTACCAGGAAGACTGCAAGCTGCATTTCAGCTCCCATTTACTCCTAAATTGAGTCCCCCTCTGCAGGGCACAAACTGCCCAGCTATATGGGATGGCCCTGCTTGCTTTTTACTGCTGTGTGCTAGGTGGTTTTGTAGTCTTCTATTCTGCTCAGTAATTTATCGATCTAAAATAAATTAAAATACACAGTTGGTTCCCCCATGATCTTCTGACTCCAACAGTAGGCCAGCTCCCAGATTCAAAGACCAGGTGTCCATTCCTAGAACTGCTGAATGGCTTGAAACAAGGAGCTTAACCTCAGAGCTTAGTTTCCTTACCATGAATACAAGAGATAATTTCTGCTCCATGTCCTGCTTTGAGGGGTAAAGAGTTAAAGTATATGAAGCAGCTTGAAAGACTGCATATTCCTGAACTGTTCCCATTCCCCAGGACTGGGGACTGTGCAGCAACACAGGGGTTGAGGTCACCCTGGAGAGCATGGCAGGCTTGTCACCCTGGTGCCCTGAGCAGCCTTCCTGATGATCGGGACCCTGGCTCCTGCAGAAGCCTGAGCCGGCAGCCCCGTGTCCAGCCCCAGGATGAGCCACACAGTCCTTTTCACCGCTGTCCTCCAAACAGCTGCTCCTTATCAGTCAGATTTGGTCTATCAAATAAAAGTCAGCTGACCATTAGGATTTAGGGTTTTCAGAGGAGAATTATACTTTGAAACTTTAAAAATGCAATTGTTGTGTGTGATTTTTGTTAAAGATCATGCTTGTAAATACCATATAAATATAGTTTATATGTTAAACAGACACAGTAAACAGTGCATTTAAGTTCACCAGTTCAGCAACTTACCCAGATTTTCTGTTTTGTTCACTTTTTCTTCTATACACTATCATTTCATTGGATGAAAAGGGTAAAAAATCTTAGACATAGCAATGTTAGGTGGTAGTTGCTTCATGTGTACTTTCTCACAAATAGATAATTTCATAAATAGTGAGGAAATGAATGCCTGGTGGAACTTCACAGCAGGAGATGGGCTACTGGAGTTAGCACTTGGCCTCCAATAGCCCTTGCAAATAGGCAGTGACAATTTTATGCCTGAGTCTCCGTGGCTGAGCAAGAATATGTAAAATAAGGTTTGTAAAGCATTAAGAGTTATTTGGGAAGCCACTACCCATCACTACACATATATCTGGTGAGATAACAATAAATTACTGTACATATAACAGACAAACTATTGTCTAAGGAATGTGCATGATTTTCAGGAAGATACTGTGACATTATGTTAAAGTTATACCAACTGCTGCACCTGTAATAATTTACAGCTTACAAAATAGTTTATTTCATTTATGGGCCTAGAGAGTAGTCTCAGAGAGGTCCTTCCATGACTGAAATAGAGAAACTGGAACCCCAACCCAGAAGCTGTGACACCTAGCCCAGATGCTCGCCATTGTTCTGTGTGGCAGTAGGAAGAGCGAGAGATATGGTATCGTGTTAAATCTTCTGATTTATCACTAAATTCCCACAGGGTATTTTATAATTTTCCCTTATGAATTCATTTTCTCGTTCACATGGTTGATGGTAGATAATGTGAAATACAAAGAATGACAAATTAAAAGTGTCATTTTCAGGAGAAACTTCAGAAAATTCTTTCGACGATAGAGCCCAACTACTAATGCGAGTGGTCTTGGAAGCTGTGCTTTTTACTCAGAGCTTTCAAATCTCATTTTCCTTTCTGTGAATTAGTTTGGATGTGGTTCCTAATGTCGACATTTTAGTACACAGTGTCAGCCTCTGTTGTTTCTTTGTGTTTTTGTGTTACCAGGTGAATTTATCAGCTGGGTGGCCCTGGATCACGAGCACCAGGCGCATCACCAGGTGACGGTCCTAGTGACAGACCGCGGCTCTCCCCCGCGAAACGCCACCATGGTGGTTTATGTCTCAGTTACTGACATCAATGACAACAGGCCGTATTTCCCACAGTGTCCCAGTGGAAAGGAATTACACATCAAGGTTTGTGGGGTTGAAGGAGCCTTCTAATGATTTTGTAATATTCTTAGTCATTTGTGCTGAGCACCATCTTGTGGTAGAAGTGTGAATTTATCAAATCAGTCTTGATGTGGCAATGCATACATTTCTAGATGGAGAAACTGTGCTTATGTCAAAGAAACCCACAAGTTTTTAAAAAAGGAAATGGTATGTGTGCCATTTGGGATCAAATATCCAGTTGTTTTATAATTAGGTAGTTCTGCCTGTTGTGTACAAGCATAATGATACCCATTACCAATGCTCAGACATGGATTGTTTTTCCAGTAATTTGCATGCATCTCTTTAAGGCAACTGATACACATCTCTAACATAGTTAAAGATAGGAGAACAATTGTAGCTCTAAAGTGGAGAGACGTGCATGTGAAGATAATAAAATTCAATCTTTTGGGGCACATGCATAAACTTCTAATTACATTATCTTTTTCATTTCCATGTTTCTGTGTATCTTACAATGTACATAATAATTACACTAGTTTATGTATATAATAAGTATATCTAGGAGGTACTCATACTTTTTTTAAATGAATGGTTATATGAATAAAAAGTTTGGAAGCTTTTACTCCAAAACAGTTGAACTGGACATTCAAATTATGCTTGGCTAGGCATACTGAACAACTCAGAAAAGACAATGAGGAAGTTAATAATTTTAAACTCATCTTCCAAAGCCATATTTAAGGAAAATTCTACGAAAGCAAAGTATTAAGATATTATCCTTATGATCTTAATTAGGTCATTAAAATATCCCACAGCTTAATTGGGCAGTAGGAATCTAAACATGGAGCTCAATTCTATAGGTACATTTCAATATTCCAAGAAAGTTCCTGTTAATTAATGAGATATGTTTCCTAAATGAGGTGTGTTTCCTGAAATAAGGCTTATGTTTATCCTTAGCATATTTTAGACCATTTAAAAAGTGTCCTGAGAAGATGGTGAATGGAGAAGGTACTAGAATTCATAAAATACATCCAAATCTAAGATTGTTTACTCAATTTGACTTCCTTTTTTCTATCTAAATTAGCTCAGATGCCACAGATAATTTGTTCAAATTGAGTAAAAGATTTAAATTTGTAATGGGGATTCTTTTCATGGATTTACACACATACAACTTGTATATGGTAGATATTTGAATTATATGTGTATTTTAAAATAGTATAAAAATGCCTACTAGTCTTTTATTTTTTCACTTAAAAGATCCATTGAAATTTCTTTTCAAGATTTCACTGACTAATTTGTAAGCCATTTGTTTTAACCACAGGTTCTGGAAGGTCAACCAGTAAATATGTTGGTTACAACTGTATTTGCAAAGGATCTTGATGAAGGAAATAATGCAGAAGTTACATATTCAGCATCTTCAGGTAAAAGTCACTATCATAAAGGATTAAGGGTTTTTGAATTTCCTTTTTTGCCTACCAACAATCTATATTTTTCCGGGAAAACAGTTAACATTGAAGATAATATCAAATACGAAACACATTGGTTATTGTCTAGAATCACTTTCATTTCTAAAAAAAGGAATTTAAAAGCTTAATGTAAGATCATAATAGTTTTTCCATTATGTTCTTCATAATGGAATCAACCAATCATCCACCTTAAGTGAATAATTTTTAATAATCTGGAATGCAAATTAACTTTCACAGCAAGTAATAGTAGATACAAATTGGTATTAAACATAAAGAAATATGATTATAAATACCAAATACCTATGTATCTTTGTGAAGACTAAATATGCTTAAGGTTAGAGTGAATCATACCTAAAAAATGTCACATGTGCACATACGTGTATGTGTAGGTAAAAACTTTACTGTGACGGGATTATGTTCACATTTTTCTTTTAGAATGCCCAGGCTTCATTCAGAACTGATGGATTTCAGTGATTAAGTTCAGTTGCCACTGTGTTTTATACCATTTTGAAAGATGCTCTTTGCTTTGTCATGTTTCACACAAACATAGGAAAGTAAGAGACAATACTGTCTTTACCTGCAGATAATCTAATTGTCCACACAGAGAACCCAAGAGATGCTACCGGCAAACCATTGGCATTAATAATATAGAAAATGTCAGGCAACAATGTCAACTTACTAAAAAACACTAACATTTTTAAAACTAATCAGGTTTTCAAAAAATCTCATTTACTGTAACAAAGAAAACCATAAAGTGTAAGCAGATTTACCATAAAGATAATGAAGTTTAAGCTTCAGGGCCCGTCACTTTATGGCTCTTCTGAGATGGTAGTAGGGGTGCAGTGAACAATTTATACTTGTAATATTGTCATGTTTTTCTTAAAGAGGGCCCCTCATATTATATAAATTTCAAAACTCCCCAATTCAGGATCATCCTCATTAGGCGCATAGGCAGGAACATTTCAATAAAAGATATTCGAGACCCTTATGTAGAAAACTACAAAATATTAATGAAAGATCTAAAAGAGGAACAAAATGAAAAAGCTTGTCATGTTCATGCTTGGGAAGCTTCAACATCCTAAGGATGATATGGTGGATTTTCCAGAGATTATGAGCCTGCTGCAGATATACACACACACAGATCAACATCCTAAGGTATAATTCTTCTATAGTACCATTATTTAAAGCTCTGTGGCAATCAATTTGAATTACAAGTATCAATATGAACTTGACATATTTTAGTGTATATATGTGTATTTTCTGTCCCACTGAAAACAACCTAGAAACAATGACTGACACAGAAGCAATGGGCACTCTCCTGGTCAGAGGACAGCCTCCCAAAGGCATTCTGCCTAAAGGACCAGGAGTCCTTGGAGAAAAAGCTGTCCCAGGTCAGGGGTAATTTAAAAGAAGAGTGTGTACAGTTGTTGCTTGCAATAGACAAGGAGGCGACTAGGTACCACTAGGATTGTGTTAGAAAGGCTCAGAACCAGCTTTAAGAGTATCCCAGTGTTCAAAGACAGGACAATTTGAACAACAATAAGGATATAATAGCAATAGACTGAAATCTTCTAATATGCTTAAATCCATGTGTAATGATTCTTGAAAGAGAAACTAAATAAAACTTTATCATAATTGGAGCACTGGAGGATACTAATGAACCAGCCCATTATTTTGAAGACTGTTGAATAAAAGTTTAGCAGCAAGCATTTATCCTGACTTTGCACTGGGTTACCAAAAAAGTAGATGATGGGAGGTTTCTCTTCATCAACATATTCCAGCTAATAAATGAAGGAAGGGTGATAGATTCAGAAATTACATAGTTGACTCTTGAACAACATGGTTTTGAACTGCATGGGTCCACATATATATGGATTTAAAATATATATATATATATTTTTTTTCCTATATATATATAGGAAAAAATTTTTGGAGATTCATAACAGTTTGAAAAAATTCTCTTTTCTCCAGCTTACTTTATTGTAAGAATACAGTGTATAATACATACAGCATACAAAGTATGTGTTACTTCACTGTTCATGCTATTGGCAAGGCTTCTGGTCAACAGTAGGCTATTAGTAGCCAAGTTTTATGGGGGACAGAAGCTATAGATGGATTTTCAGCTGAGTGGGGAGTTGGAGTCCCCTAACCCTGACTTTATTCAAGGGTCATCTGTACTTTACAACACTTATAGTATCTAGGTTGTGCATCAGTGAGACCAACCTCATAAAAAGAGACAGACATGTGCTTCTGAAGGGAAGCACAGAAGAGCACGTATGAAGTGGTCTTGCCCCCCCCAAAATTAAACCTGAGTCTGATTAATTCTCTAAATCTATGTCCCCATTTCAGTAAAACACAGAGGACAGAGCAACATATTAAACTACATGTTAGAGATAAGCGAGAGCAAAATCTAGTCCATAGGAAACTTCAGGATCCAGTTTTTTCAGCAAAAAGTTTCAAAAACAAAAAAAAAAGATGACTGGCAGGAATGCAGACTGAAGAGCACCACAAATGAGGACTTTATGTTGAACCTAATTTGACTTAAAATAAATAAGAAGGTATTTATGAGACAGTTGAAAACTTAAATGCTGACTAGATATAAAATTTAAAAGCTGACTAGATACTGGATGATATTAAAGAATCATTAATTTTTAAAAGTATAATAGGGTGATATGATTATGTTAAAAATGATCCTTAACCTTTAGAAATGTATTGAAATGTATGCAAAAGAAATTATAGGATTTCTGGAATTTGCATCAAAAGTAGATGGTGAAGAGAAATAGATGAATGGGGAAAAAAGATTAGCCATGAGTTGATAATTATGGAAGCTAGGTGACCAGCACATGAGAGTTCACTCTATCACTCTGTGTACTTCTTTATGTTTGAAAATGTCCATAACAAAATGTTTTAAAAATCTGGTACATTTCTTATCTGTCTATATTTTTTATATTTTTTATGTCCAAATGTATCTTTCAATTATAAGAAATATACATGGATTAATTAATTCTCTGTTTTCTGAATTGTCAATTACCATTAATTTCTTAATTTTTTTCTGTGTTTGCAGAGGATAGCTCTGACCACTTCAAGATTGATGCCAACAGTGGTGAAATAAGAACGACCACAATACTTTTGCATGATTATAGACCTTCCTACACGGTGACTGTAATTGCCAGTGACCAGGGAGTATCTTCTCTACAAGGACGAGCAGTTATTAATATTCAGGTATGTCCCATCATCACCATAAAATGTGGAAGGAAATTACAAAGGTTTTGTTTGAGTTTTATACAAATGCATAGAGTAAAGGTAAATTAAATACATGAATGCTTTTTTCAGACAGAATTACAGATAATGTGTGCCTTTTTATTATCATTCAAAAAATGATTAGACTCAACTTCTTATATTTTAACTCTGTATGGTTCCTGACAAGATATTTACCTTCACCACTATATATGGACATTTATGTTGTTTTGTTCATTAAGAACAAAAATTGTCTTCTCTTACTTTTTCCCACTTGTAAGACCTAGTGAATTTGCAGGAGAAACTTACATGAAAGAAAATGGCCATTAGTAACTCACGTAGGTTTTTGTAACTTGGGAAAGTTACTTAAGATACATATTTTAAGGCTTCACTTTAGTCATAATGAGCAAACAAGTTGTGGGAATTCTTCATCATAGAAAAGAATTCACAGCAGCCGGTCAAAAGCAAGATGACTGTGCATAGCTAGATTTATTCATTCATGCACATGGTAACTAGTAATATTTATATAGGTATAACAATCAAGAATATATATCCCTGAGAATTATGTTTCCAAATTATATTTTTTATTGATTGAAGATATGTGAGTTAGGAGAAAATTCTATGTTGTAATCCCTCAAGTCTTTGGTTTCAGATAAAAAAAGGTCCATGATACAAAAATGTATACAGATGGCAGTCTGGATATATTGGTGTCCAGAATTTAAGGTAATTGGAGAACTAGCTATCCCACATTCTCACTGAAGAATCATAAGACTGTAGTTCAGCTTAACTATAGCATGGCCTCACCAAATACCATTTCACACACTAGATTGGGAAATGGAAAATTCTGTACTTTCTTATCTCCTAGATGTTATACAATTTTCAGTCTTCAGTGACACACTGAAATCCATAACAGAAAAAGACATTCCTGACCAATTAACATATGTATATCACACAAATAGAAGGAATTAACTTCCAAAATAATATTATCACATGTATTTGATACACCTGTTACATGATACGTTAAATTAACAGCTCCTCTTAATTCTTATTTCAGGTGATCCCACTACCCAGAGGGAGACCTGTCATTTCTCAGAACATTAGACATTTAGTTATACCAGAAAACTTGAAGCCTGCAAAAGTAATGAGCTTGATAAAGTCACCTGATCACCTTCCACATCATCCTAATGGAAAGTTACATTTTAGTATTGCTGCAGATGACAGGGACGGTCATTTTGCAATCGACAGCTTGACAGGGGATGTATTCCTTTCTAAGGAACTTGATTATGAAATGACATCTCACTATCTCATCAGGGTGGTGATTAAAGACCCTAGCAAAACCCCTCCCCTGAATAGCACAGTCTTCCTTAGCATCGATGTGGAGGATCAGAACGACCATTCCCCGTCCTTCCAAGAGCAGTTCGTTGTGGTAAGTGTGGAAGAAAATGTCCCTATAGGGACTCTGGTGCATGTCTTCAATGCCAAAGATGGAGATGGAAGTTTTTTGAACAGTAGAATACAATACTTCGTTGAATCCCACCACCCTGGAACCAATCCGTTTATCATCCACCCCTCCTCTGGCGCCTTAGTCACGGCGTCCCCCCTTGATAGAGAAAGAGTTCCCGCCGTCGTCCTGACCGTAACTGCGTCCGACCAGGCTGCGAACGTGACGGACCGGCGACTGAGGTCGCTGACTGCGCAGGTAGTGATTTTGGACGTGAACGACCACAGCCCCACTTTCATGTCTTTTCCCATCGCCCATGTCAGAGAGGATGCCATGGCGGGCTCCTTGGTGCACCACATATCTGCTCAAGATCCCGATGAAGGAAGGAACGGAAGAGTAACATACAGCATCCTATCGGGAGATGAAAACAGGGCCTTTATGCTGGACGAGGCATCAGGTATGGTGTGGGTCACTGGCGCCTCAAGCCTCCCTTTATCCTTTCCATTCTCCTCTGTTAAAAGGATAGTGCTCAAAATGCATAAACTTTAAAGAAATCTGACTTGATTTATTGTTCAACTTATATATATGAAAGGTATAGAAATTGTATTCCGAGAACCAACTGTGATTTTCTTGTTTATTAATATGGACCATGCTTGGAGCTCACTCACCTTTCACGGGATGGGTGTCCAGTTGCAAACTTCTTTGCCTCCATTATGCGTCCTCACAAGGTAGGAGATGATACCAAAAGTGAGTCAAGGTCGAACACAACTAATCGACAGCATTATTAAAAGACTTTAGATTGGAAATGTATCTTTAAGATAATATAAACATATTTGTAAATAGTTGGGCATGCATTTTTAAATGGTTGGACTGCGTTGGGTATTAAGACCTTTACTTCTCCATGAACTATAACATTTTCGTTTTGCAGAAGCATTTATTCACCATCAAGTACTTTGCAGAAATGTCACTCACTGTCACTTCACTGGTCTTGCTGACACCATGTTGCCAGATGACATCTGTGAAAGTTTTGATGTAGTTTGATGGAAGATTAAATGTACAGTGTCATTCTTGAGAAATTGGAAATGAACTTCCCTCAACTTGATTTTCAGGACATATTGAAGAGATGGACTGCCATCTCATTCTCTAAAAAATAGTCATCTCTACATGGCTCTTCAGGAAAAAAATCTCAGCTGTATATAGTTGGCCCAGCTGCTAGTAAGAGCATTATTTGGAATGGGACTCAGTGTGTAGGATTTGGAAGTCATGATTATAGTTTGGCTATATACTGTTGGAAATTTTCATCAAAATATTTATTAAATCCTGTACATATGGTTCCATTCTGAGGCATGCATGAACACCACCTAAAACCCCACTGACAGAGAGATAGTCCAGACTCGGTTGCTGATTTCTTTTAGAGCTGGGGTCTCCAGGGACCTGTTTCAGCAATACTTAAAATGTTTTCCAAAATGGCTAAGAAAGGTCTACTTTGGATTGTTAAAGAGGATGAAGAAAACTAGAGTTGTGTCTCAGTAATATAGGTATCATGACGCTTTAACAATTGGAGTGGCTATTTCAACCGAGATATTTTTCAAAGACATAAACTGATAGTTGCTGAATGCATTCATATGAGACAATGCATTTTGTCTCTCATGAGGCTCCTATCTCTTATTAAGAAGATGTAGTAAGTTTTCAATTAATTTTGGCCCTGAAGTATAAAGTGAGAAGTAATCACTGAAAAACTATTTTATAAACTGAATCAGTAAGCCTATTTAATTCTTTAAAGAAAAGTTCTTACAGGATAAACATGTGTTAAAGAAGCAAACGGCAATCCTAGAAGAAAGAAATGTGCCAATTGAATTCATATAACAGCTGAATCTTGTGTGCAAGTCTTTATAACACTTTGCTTACATGCATTACATTCTTAAATGGCAGCAGGCATATTTAATTTGTGAAGTTTATTGTCTGTTATAAAGTCTTTACTATTTTTTGTTAATAAAAAAGACATTTAACTGAGAGTGGCATAAAGAGACTATAATCCTTTAACAAATGCTTGATATCTTAAAAAATTTAGCCACCCTCATTTTTTTGTAATTTGGTCACTTTTAAACATGAAGTGTCATTTGACATGAAAATGTATATTGCTAGACACTATTTTTTTAAATGAAAGTAGATGTTGAGTGGGTAATTTTGATGTAATCATCTCAGTAGATAATGGTATGTGATAGATGATTTCTGAATTCTCATTTGTTCTTATCATTTAAATTTGGGCCACTTTCCTGACTAAAAATCTGATCTTTTGATTCTAGATAATATATAAATTGAAAGTTGGCTTATTCAGGTTTACTCTTTAATAAAAAGTTTCTGCAGTTTTAGTAAGTTAGGTAAGTTAGGCACAGTAGAGTAAGCACGACTTCTCTAAAGAATATTTATTACCCATTGCTTGTGTTCCCTTTCAAATCAGGCTTACTAACGACGACTTGTCCCTTGGATTATGAAGTAAAAGCTCAGCACATTCTGACCCTTCTGGCCCGGGATGATGGCATACCAGCACTTTCTTCTTCCCAGACTTTGACAATTACTGTTCTCGATGTAAATGACGAGTCACCAGTATTTAAGCAGGACCTGTATGAAGCTTTAGTTAAAGAAAACCAAAATCCAGGAGAGTTTGTCACAAGGATTGAAGCTGTGGACAGAGATTCAGGTAACTTAAGAATATGGAAATTAGTGCTAAAAACAAAACTGGACGTAATTTCAACTAGTTATGGCCCAGGAAAATGAAAACAGTTGCTAGTTATCTCAAACTTGTGATGTCTCTTCCATAGCCATACACGTAAAAACACACACACATGCAAAGATAATGTGTGCTTTTATAACACTTAACTTGTATTGACCTTCATTATTACTTAGAGTGATGCATGCTTAATTAATACCTAATTAATTATACTATATATGCAATTTTATATGAATATAAATATCTATAATGTATATATATATGTAAATATACATACAAAATTATACAACTTCCAGTTGTACATTATAATTTGACATCTGTATACACTACAAAGTGATCAGCTATCACCTACAATTGACCCTCTTCACCTCTTTCTCCCATCCCTTATCCCCCTTACCCTCTAATAGTCACCAACCTGTTCTCTGTATCTATAATGTTCTCTGTATCTATAAGGTGTATTTTGTTTGTTTGTTTTTGTTTTTTAGATTCTACATATGAGTAGTTTGTCTCCCTCCTTCTGCTTATTTCATTTAGCACAACACCTTTGAGGTCTATACATGTTGTTGTAAATGGCAAAATTTCATTCTTTTTTATGGCTAAGTAGCAGTCCATTGTGTATATTTATTCATCATGTCTTCTTTATTCATTCATCCGTGGATGGACATTTAGATTGTTTACAATATCTTGGCTATTGTAAATAATGCTGAAGTGAACATAGGGGTGTATATGTCTTTTCAAATTAGTGTTTTCATATTTTTAGATAAACACCCAGTAGTGAAATAGCTGGATCATCTATACTTAATTTAATAATAAGTAAGACAGTTCTATACTTAATTTTTTGAGGAATCTACATATTGTTTTCCCTAATGGCTGCACCAATTTGCATCCTGTCTACAGTATAGGAGGGTTCCTTTTTCTCCACATCTTCTCTAACACTTGTTATTTTTTATCTTTTTGATAGTAGCCATTCTAACAGGTGTGAGGTGATATCTCACTGCTGTTTTGATTTGCATTTCCCTAATAGTTAATGATGCTAAGCATCTTCCTATGTGCATTTTTTTAAGTTGGCCATTTGTATGTCTTTGGAAAATGATTTTTCAGATCTTCTGCCTATTTTTTTAATCAGGTTTTTTTGGTGTTATTGTTGAGTTGTATGAATTTTTTACATATTTTAGATACTAACTCCTATTGAACATGATTTGCATATATCTTATCTCACTCAGTATGCTATCCTTTTGTTTTGATGATGGTTTCCTTCACTGTGTAGAAAATTTTAAGTTTGATTTAGTCCCATTGTTTATTTTTGCTGTTGTTTCTCTTGTCTTTGTATTCCAGTCCACAACAGTGTTGCTAAAACCATTATCAAAGAGCTTCCACCTATGTTTTCTTCTAGAGATTTTATGATTTCAGTCTTTAATCCATTTTGAGTTGGTTTTTGTATATGTTGTAAGATAGTGGTCTGGTTTCATTCTTTTGCATGTGGTTGTCCAGCGCTCCTAATGCCATTTATTGAAGAGACCATCCTTTTCCATTGTATGTTCTTGGCTCCTTTGCTGTAAATTTATTGTCCATATATATGTACGCTTATTTCTAGGCTTTCAATTCTGTTCCACTAAACTGTGTGTCTGTTTTTATGCCACTACCATACTGTTTGGTCACTATAGCTTTATAGTAGAGTTTGAAATCAGGATACCTCCAGCTTTGTGTTCTTTCTCAAGATTGCTTAGGCTATTTGGGATCTTTCATGGTTCTCTAAAATTTTAGAATTATTTGTTTTAGTTCCGTGAAATGTGACATTGGAATTTTTAGAGGGATTGCATTGAATTTGTAGATTACTTTGGGTAACATAAATATTTTAGCAATATTATTTCTTAGAATACAGAAGTAAGCCCATCTGTTTAAATTCACATTTCTGTATTGCAACTGTCATTACATAATCAGCATGTTTTGTTCTTTTTGTAAAAGAATTGCTATAGATGTTTCTATGGAAATTGTTCATCAATAGAGTAAAATATATATTTCCTTAAGCTTCTAAACTAAATCACATATTAATTGCTTTGCCATTTTGGAAAACATCATCTTTTAATGCAATGCATTTTACACGAATTTGTACATAATGATGCTACAAAAACTTTCAAGGACTAACCTAATTTTCTTTTCTTTGACCAGAGTGGGGCAGTGTGATCAAAGAATTTTTCTTACTAGGCTCACAGACACCTGACTGTAGCATGTTAACAACTGTTGATCTCAACCCATGCTTAAAGAGTTTTATTTAGTACATTTCTGGTAGTGTGGTTCTTAGGGTGAAAGAAACAACAGAACATATACATAAACTTTGTGTTTCAGAGTAATTCCAGTTCAGTAAAGTTCTCCTATAGTGCTCTCTGGTATACTTTGAGCAACATAGGGCTCTGGACAACACAGAAATCATTTCCCAAAACTGTTACTGATGTTGTGTGATTTAGCAATCAAGTATGTAAAATGCTTCTTCCCCTTGATCTTATTTTAGCTTATTAGTTTTTTTTTTTTGTAGTGGACTGTACTGAAAGGAGCTCTTTTGCTTAATGTTGAGAAAGAAAAGAATGTCTCTCAAATTTTGCTTGTATCAACTAAAGATTATTACCATGAATCTGCTTTCTGATCTTTACTGTTAAAAATGCTTAGTGTTAATGCTCTTTTAGAATGAATAGTTTACAACCTGTTACTTAAATTACATTGAAAGTTCATTATTCTAGAGATTATGGTTTGCCGGACAGAGAATTCAGGTGCCAAATTATTGTTTTTCTGGCTTTGCATTTATGAATGTTTGAAATACACATTAGCATCTTCATGAGTCTTATGTACCTTCACAGATTTTGGAGACAATTTCAGTTTACTAGAAATCTCAGTGTTTTTAATGAGGCCAGATGTGTTAAGCAAGTGGTTGTATAAATGTATGTGAATTTGTGGGTATCCACATGCATTTTAACCTATTTCCCTTTCTTCAATCCTTTTTTTTTGCTTGTTTTCTGCTTATTTCATTTAGCACAACACCTTTGAGGTCTATACATGTTGTTGTAAATGGCAAAATTTCATTCTTTTTTATGGCTAAGTAGCAGTCCATTGTGTATATTTATTCATCATGTCTTCTTTATTCATTCATCCGTGGATGGACATTTAGATTGTTTACAATATCTTGGCTATTGTAAATAATGCTGAAGTGAACATAGGGGTGTATATGTCTTTTCAAATTAGTGTTTTCATATTTTTAGATAAACACCCAGTAGTGAAATAGCTGGATCATCTATACTTAATTTAATAATAAGTAAGACAGTTCTATACTTAATTTTTTGAGGAATCTACATATTGTTTTCCCTAATGGCTGCACCAATTTGCATCCTGTCTACAGTATAGGAGGGTTCCTTTTTCTCCACATCTTCTCTAACACTTGTTATTTTTTATCTTTTTGATAGTAGCCATTCTAACAGGTGTGAGGTGATATCTCACTGCTGTTTTGATTTGCATTTCCCTAATAGTTAATGATGCTAAGCATCTTCCTATGTGCATTTTTTTAAGTTGGCCATTTGTATGTCTTTGGAAAATGATTTTTCAGATCTTCTGCCTATTTTTTTAATCAGGTTTTTTTGGTGTTATTGTTGAGTTGTATGAATTTTTTACATATTTTAGATACTAACTCCTATTGAACATGATTTGCATATATCTTATCTCACTCAGTATGCTATCCTTTTGTTTTGATGATGGTTTCCTTCACTGTGTAGAAAATTTTAAGTTTGATTTAGTCCCATTGTTTATTTTTGCTGTTGTTTCTCTTGTCTTTGTATTCCAGTCCACAACAGTGTTGCTAAAACCATTATCAAAGAGCTTCCACCTATGTTTTCTTCTAGAGATTTTATGATTTCAGTCTTTAATCCATTTTGAGTTGGTTTTTGTATATGTTGTAAGATAGTGGTCTGGTTTCATTCTTTTGCATGTGGTTGTCCAGCGCTCCTAATGCCATTTATTGAAGAGACCATCCTTTTCCATTGTATGTTCTTGGCTCCTTTGCTGTAAATTTATTGTCCATATATATGTACGCTTATTTCTAGGCTTTCAATTCTGTTCCACTAAACTGTGTGTCTGTTTTTATGCCACTACCATACTGTTTGGTCACTATAGCTTTATAGTAGAGTTTGAAATCAGGATACCTCCAGCTTTGTGTTCTTTCTCAAGATTGCTTAGGCTATTTGGGATCTTTCATGGTTCTCTAAAATTTTAGAATTATTTGTTTTAGTTCCGTGAAATGTGACATTGGAATTTTTAGAGGGATTGCATTGAATTTGTAGATTACTTTGGGTAACATAAATATTTTAGCAATATTATTTCTTAGAATACAGAAGTAAGCCCATCTGTTTAAATTCACATTTCTGTATTGCAACTGTCATTACATAATCAGCATGTTTTGTTCTTTTTGTAAAAGAATTGCTATAGATGTTTCTATGGAAATTGTTCATCAATAGAGTAAAATATATATTTCCTTAAGCTTCTAAACTAAATCACATATTAATTGCTTTGCCATTTTGGAAAACATCATCTTTTAATGCAATGCATTTTACACGAATTTGTACATAATGATGCTACAAAAACTTTCAAGGACTAACCTAATTTTCTTTTCTTTGACCAGAGTGGGGCAGTGTGATCAAAGAATTTTTCTTACTAGGCTCACAGACACCTGACTGTAGCATGTTAACAACTGTTGATCTCAACCCATGCTTAAAGAGTTTTATTTAGTACATTTCTGGTAGTGTGGTTCTTAGGGTGAAAGAAACAACAGAACATATACATAAACTTTGTGTTTCAGAGTAATTCCAGTTCAGTAAAGTTCTCCTATAGTGCTCTCTGGTATACTTTGAGCAACATAGGGCTCTGGACAACACAGAAATCATTTCCCAAAACTGTTACTGATGTTGTGTGATTTAGCAATCAAGTATGTAAAATGCTTCTTCCCCTTGATCTTATTTTAGCTTATTAGTTTTTTTTTTTTGTAGTGGACTGTACTGAAAGGAGCTCTTTTGCTTAATGTTGAGAAAGAAAAGAATGTCTCTCAAATTTTGCTTGTATCAACTAAAGATTATTACCATGAATCTGCTTTCTGATCTTTACTGTTAAAAATGCTTAGTGTTAATGCTCTTTTAGAATGAATAGTTTACAACCTGTTACTTAAATTACATTGAAAGTTCATTATTCTAGAGATTATGGTTTGCCGGACAGAGAATTCAGGTGCCAAATTATTGTTTTTCTGGCTTTGCATTTATGAATGTTTGAAATACACATTAGCATCTTCATGAGTCTTATGTACCTTCACAGATTTTGGAGACAATTTCAGTTTACTAGAAATCTCAGTGTTTTTAATGAGGCCAGATGTGTTAAGCAAGTGGTTGTATAAATGTATGTGAATTTGTGGGTATCCACATGCATTTTAACCTATTTCCCTTTCTTCAATCCTTTTTTTTTGCTTGTTCAGTTAGAGCAATGAAACAGGATTATGTATGAGAAATGACGTAGTCATTGGAATTTATGAATGGTTTACCTTATATTATGTAAAAATACTATAGCATTACTTAATACCAGAATGCTCAACATATGTTTTCTAGCATTCTGCAATGCAGTTTTTAAAAATGTAAGCCGACAGTGTTGCTTGGCATTCAAAACTTATGGGAATTTGAGCATTGAATGTTTATGATGTATGACTCACACTAGTTCTAACCGGATTTTTTTCTTGTATTAAATGGGGAAAACAAATACCAGGTTTTAACTAAGATATTAAAACTGCTACAGTCTGCTGCTACCAACAATAACCCCATTGTTAGTAAGAAAAGATTTACCGCAAGGGCTCCCCTCCCCCAGTCCTGGGAGGAATGGGTGCTCCACCAGGGAAGATGACACACCCCCAGCTGATACATTTGCTCAATAGTGGTCAATACAAATAATTTAACAGTACAGTGCCATACAAGAATGCCAGATTGTATAATGAGAGCTTATTCTCTATTCCATAAAAAGATGTGTTCTCTATCAGGGTTTATCTTGAATAAACTTTACACCAGGGCGATTTCTTGGAAACTGTCTTGAGCTGGACATACAACTGCACCCTGCACCCAACGACCTGCATGTGCAGTGAGGCAGGAACACTGCCATGACAGTGTTGCATCTATTTCGTTGAATCTAAAACACCATTAATTATAAAATGCATCTAACTTCAAAAATGTTCAATTGTGCAGGAAAAAATGTGTCTTAGAATTAATGAGATAGTAAGCAAACAAAAAAACCCAGTAAATACCACTTATAACTTCACTCACCGAGAGACAGTCAGTGTTAAAGCTTTGATAGAGTCTTATTTCATGTGATACATGATTTTTTGATTGTGTAACTTTTCGCTTGTCTGCCTGCCCTTTAGGCAGTGGATTTCTCATGGATTCAGGACATGTTTTATTCACTTTTATCCCAGGCTCCTAAGATAGTGCAAGCTATGACATAGGAGCTCAGAGAATATTTTTGACTCTACAATCTGAGAAACTGGAGCATCTGTGAAATAAGCTGCTTCGAGTTGCCTTTATACTTTAGGATTCATTCATGTATATGTTCCTTTATTCAGTTAACCAGGCATGGTTTTATTTTTGCTTTAGAAATGCCTGAGCTGCGTGGGCATTGTACAGCTGAGGAATTACATAAAAAATGATCTTCCTAAAAAGTAAATCTGAAAATAACATTCCTCTGGTCAGAATGCTTTATCAATTCTGCATGGTGAAGAGGATAAACTTTTATTCTCTTAGCTTAACAACAAGGCATTTTATGAAGTGACGCTAGCTTTACTTTCTATCCTCAGCCCCTATCACTGTCTGTCCCATGACTGGACTGTTACGTAAGGGATAAAAGCTATACAGAATGATACGAATAATAAAATCTAAAAGTTTCAAAAAAGTCAGGTAAATATTGGGCAAAGCACATTAGAGAATAATGGGAACAGTGGGAGGAAGGGAAAATATAAAGACTTCAGTTTATGTTTATCTGAAGACATTTTCTAGGTTTGACAAGTGTTGGAATTTAAAGTGTGTAATATACAATATTAGGTGTAATATACAATAAAGTCATGTAATAAATGAGTGTTTTTGTTTCAAGAATAAAAGGTCCAAAAATTAAAAGGTGTTTTTCTCCGTCTAAGCTCCTTGACGACAGAGGGCGTACCTGTTGGATTCACCACCATCTCTTTGGCAGACAGCACTATGCTGGACACCTAATTTTGCTCACCAAATATTTGAGAAATGAGGAGAATGGATAGAAGATTGTATTATTCCTGTGTTCACAGTGTCATAAAAAATATAGACTGGAATAACAAACTTTACCAACCTGAAATTTTTAGAAATTCTGCTTTGGCAATAAAAGAGATTGTGATCATTATGAGATCACAATAATCGCTATGATTACTAAATAAGTATTACCATGCTAATATGCCTAATGGTAAATGATAGAATTTGGTGACCTCTGACCATACCATGCCAAATATATTGTTCCTATCTTATTAGACTTTTTCCTCAAGGTCCTAAAAATGCCTGCAGATTATCTCAAATATCCTTTCTCTTTCAAATGACATAGTAAAAAAAAAAATGTATTCTTATTCTTATATGAAACTAGCATTATATTCCTCTCCTTCCAGCCTATATTATACCCACTAGACCAATAGTGGGATGAAAATTTACTTCTTAACATTGACAAGATCGAAATTTATGATTGAAGTTTTTGTTGTTGTTGTTAAGGCCAAAGAATAGTATGTCATCTTTTATTATATATATATTCCAAGTATTATATGTATTCCTAGATTCTTGTCAGTTAAGAAAAGAAGATAGGAAAATGATCAAAAGGAACTAGTGTTAAGTGCAAATAAGCTGCACTAGCAGGGGATAAACACATTAAAGTTAATGGTATGAATCACATTCATAACCAGTGATGGAAATGATGTGATACTTCACTCAGGGAAGAAATGAAACCACAAAAATATGGGAAGGATTATTTTCAAAATGCGTAATAATATGGCACCACATTTCTCACTTCAGATAGGAGACTAAGGACTAAGTGGAAGGCCAAAGGAAACAGTAGTACCCGTACGAGCAACTCTGTGCTCGCCTCCTATGCTGGAGAAGGATCAGAGTACCATTAACTGGGCACAAGCTTTCAAATAGAGGGTCAGTCTACAGGAACTGTCATTTGCCCTGCAAGCTTATAATTATGTCATTAAATCACAATCAGGGGTGTTAGAAAGAGTAATTAGAAATCTGTTGTAGGGTTGCACACTCATAAGAAATTTTTTATGGAAGGGAAAAAATCTTAAACATTCATTGTGGGGAAGTCTCATAAGACTTTTGAAAATCAAGCATTTCAGCTCATGAGGCTTTTATTTAACAAGAACAGCCAGAGTTTTGTGGGGTTTTTAACTTTTTTTTTACCTCACCTTTTTTGAAGGTTATTTAAGCATCTTGCCTTTTTCATCTACGGCCTAACCTGTTCATAGAGGAAAGAATAGAAAAACAGACGGATGGTTTCCTAAGGGGTAATTACTAAATTTTTCTTTATATTTTCCTTTAGGGATCAATTCCAAGTTTCAGTTTGAAATCATGCCAGGTGCTGCATTTGGGTTGTTCAAGGTAAACTCTGACACTGGAGAGGTGGTGACAGCCGTTACACTTGACAGAGAAGTTCAGGAAGTCTTCACCCTTCGAGGTAAGGGATTGCTTGACGATGCTAGCCAGGTAAAGATAGGCAGCGGGAGGTTTAGTGGTAAAATCTGACATTTCAGTAGAATGTCTTTAAATAATACATTATTGACTCAGGGCTACCCTGTCAGTTTGGTCTGATGTGGTCCAGGTAGGGCCATGTATTTTAGGTATGAATCAATGGCCATGATGTGTGCTATCTTTTACTCCACGCCAGTATTAGCACGAGATGGGGGAATCCCTTCACTGTCAGGCACCACAACGATTCTTTGTACTGTAGAAGATGAAAATGATCACACCCCAGAGATTATTGTCCCCAGTCACCACGTTGAAGTTCTGGAAAACCAAGAGCCACAGGTTGTCTACACTGTTTTCGCCTCTGATATGGATGCTGGCAATAATGGAGCTGTCAGGTATCATATAATTGGTAAGTATTTTCTTTATTAAAATTCCTTTCAGGATACTGACTGAGCTGGCACACATAATGTGGTGATTACTCTGCATTCAGGGTCTATTGCAGTGGCTACAAAACACACACCCAGTGAGAGCTGATTGGTACCATGAGTGTCCTCTCTACCTCCATTCCACTGGCACCCTGAAGAAATGCCCTCCAAATTCTTTAAAAAATTGCCTATCGACAACTTTTGTGAATGTTTCTTTACTACCACTTGTGGATGTAGAGATGGTATAGAGCTTTTTCTTATCCTTGTTCCTTTTAAGGAGCACTTATTTTTGTTATTTTGAGCAATCAAGATTTTTTTCAGGCCTTTCATTTTAAAAGGAACTTAGAGAACATGCACAGATGATAAGTTCCCAGATCTGAATACCAGTGTGTACTTCAGATCTCCAGCCACACCCCAGGGACCGAGGTCTGTAGGGATTTCTGCCCTAGAAGATAATTTTGTGATATTGCTCCCTTTGAATCAGAGGCATATGGCTTTCTGGCAGAATGATGTCAGTATTAGCATGAGCAGCTTGAGAGAGCTGAGTGAAAGAGTCACTTTATCAGCTATAAATGCCATAAAAATGTAGGTTTGACCCCTATGTTTTGTACAAGTAAACTACCATGTTTTATGAACAAAATACAAATGCAAGTCCCTTCTTCTCAGCCCCCAACACTACCTATGGCTCTTGTTTTTTCTGAATGTCACTCCACTTCTTCCCCATATGACTTTGTGGACTCCAGTAAATTCCCACAGTGTTGGGAATAATGTGCTTCATTCACTATGCCCTTATTGGGGAGGAAAATTTTCCTCTGCAGTTCAAGGTTCTCCTATCTGGCCTAAGAATCAAATTGACGTGAGACAGAGTAACAGGAGAAAATCAAGTTTAGTTGCACATGTAGAGGAAATCCACCAGACATGAGATTCCGACCACAGTCAGGCAAATGAGGTACATATATATCATCCTGAACTAAGGAAAAGGGTAGGGGCTTGGGACTTCAAAGAGAAGAAAATCAAATTCATAGAAGTATAGAAGGAGTATATATTTGGTAAACAAATATTTGCTGGGCCACACAGAAACAATGGGACATAGAGAAGAATTTTACGGAAAAATTTGGTGAATTCCTCCCCATCTGCTATTACTAGTTCATATCGTACATTGTTATCCATGGTGACAGCTCTCTTCCTGGAGCAGACCCTACATCTAAATTCTTTTAGAAAGTTAGGAGGAAGGTTTAAGTTTCTTTCTGAGTCTTTTGGGCCTTGATTGTTTCCAGCTCGGCATCCTGGGATGGCCTGCCCTTGGCCCCTACACCCTCATCCAGGCGTATACCTGCATCCAAGAAAATGGCCAGCAAGCCATTGAACCATGTTTTTCCTGGCTGAGTTTCAGGGTGGCTTCAAAATGTGTTTGAAAGCATTTTTGTCCCTGTGTTCAGTTTTAACTTTTATTCCACTTGGGACCATGAACAATAAAAAGGGGAAGATTTTCCTGAAAGTTATAGAAAAGAATAAAACATCATCTTTGTTTATATTATGGCAACAAACAAGCATTCCACAGTCTCTAACAGAAGTGTTCTGATTCATGCACAAAGTGTCTGTAGTGCATAATATCTAGGAACCTACTACTCTCAGTCTTTTAATTTTTGATTGATATAAAAAATGGACATTATATCTTCTTTCTTATCACTGCCTACTATTATCTTATTATAAATAAAACATACATTTTGATCCTCTCAAGAGGTGAATTATATGAACATAAAAGGTTGTAGATGCACATACAAAAAAATCATACTGCTATAAATCAGTCAAAACAAGTGTTCCAATTGTTGATTAAATTAAGATAGATGTTGAATTGTGTAATTTTGTTTATTTCCCACTAATAAAAGCTTCATGAGAGCCGGGACTTTATCATAGTCATAGCTATATGTCCTTAGTACTTACAAAATACTAGGATATAACCATCAGGAAATAAATATTTGTTGCATGAAAAAATATATATAGCTGGCAAATGGGCCACTGCTTTTTCAATTCAAATGGATTTTGAAATTTTTTTCTTTAATAGATGGAAATACTGATGAGTACTTTGCAATTAATGAAACATCAGGAGAACTGTCACCCATTCATCCTTTGGACCGAGAGCAAGTCAACAATTTTACCCTTGTCATCCTGTGCTCAGATCTGGGGGACCCACCCAGGAGCTCAATAGCACAGCTGCAAGTTAAGGTTTTGGATGACAATGACCACAGCCCCTCCTTTCCCACACTTTATTACCAATCCTCTGTGAGAGAAGATGCTCAGGTGGGAACAGTGGTTCTTGTGCTGTCCGCGGTGGACAAGGATGAAGGCCTGAATGGACAAACTGAGTATTTCCTGACAGGGGAGTCTTCTGACACGTTCACCATTGACCCTGCGGCAGGCATATTGAGAACCAGCCGTGCCCTCGACCGAGAAGCCAGATCGCTGCACACGTTGAGGGCTGTAGCCAGAGACTGTAGCATCCGGGGTTCAAGAAGCACCACAGTAATTATAAAAGTCCACGTCACTGATGTTAATGACAATGACCCAGTTTGGGAACAGAACCCCTCTGAAATTTTTCTTTCCCCCCAGTCACCTACAAACCAGACAGTGACCATTCTGAGAGCCAGTGACCCAGACTTGGGGCCCAATGGAACTGTCATTTTTAGTTTTGCAGAGACCCAGTCAATTTTTTCCATTGATAAATATACAGGAGAAATTCAGCTTCAGCACAACCCATCATCAGAATATTTTCCATTCTGGCTGCAGTTAAAAGTTATGGACCAAGGGCTTCCGGCTAGGACAGCCACTGGTCTCTTAGTCATTCACATGAAAGGAGAAGATATAAAGATTTCCTTCAGCCACCATCTGTATGAAGGGTCTGTGATGGAAAACTGTGATTCAGGTGAGTGTCCTCTAAAGTTTTTTGTGTATTGCAGTTGTTTTGGCAAAATGCCTATTAAGGTATGCTTAAAACAATAGTGCTATTGCAAATTGAGTTAAAAAGTTTTGAGTCCAGCCAATTGTTGGTATGTCAGTTTTCATCCAAATTAGAGCATTGGAAAAACACACTCAAATATAGCAAAACACGTGCACAAATCTTAAAGATAGCAAGGATGGTAAAAAAACCGAAAGATGACTCTCTCAGGGCCTTTGAATTCTCTGTTAATTTAAGTTAACGATCTCAAAATAAAATCCCCTTTTATATAAGTGTTTATGAAACCTTATATGTTATGTACATTTCAAAATACTTTCTTGGAAGTATAATGGAAGAGGAAGTATGCTGTGGCTAAATGTTTGGGCTCCGCCTGGATTTAAATCCTGACTGTGCCACTGTGTGTTCTTGGGTAGCTGAATCTCTCTGAGCCTCAGTTTCCTCATCTGCAAATCAGGAATAATGTTTGTGCCAACCTCATTAGGTTCTGATGAATTAATAAGCTAGCTCATGGAAAACACTCCAAACTGTGTCTGCCACATAGTAAGCGTCTAATAAATAGGAACTGCTATTATTAATATTATGACTTCCTTTTGGTACAGTGAGCAGTGGCTCTCAAACAGTGCAGTAATATCTGATCTTCAAAGAATTCAGCACAGATTACACAGCTCAAAACAGGCATCTGTGAATGATAGCCATTTTTCTTCATAAGGCCAAATTCTTTTTTCAGTTATTTCCCTATTCAAATTAATGTCATAATGGGAAACATTAAAACATTAACTTATCTTTCTACCCCAAAGGGAAAAGTCTTCTTTGTACATAGTTGTGAATAGCAAGAAATTCAACCTAGGCCAATATACCTAACTAAAGAGTAGAGTAAATGAATCTTTGAATGCTTCAGCTGGCCGGAGGGCACAGCACAGGAACTTGGAGACTTGGGGAGGAGTTAGGTTGCTCAAGGTCCGTGTGCCGTTTCCTTGGTCATGTCATTTTCTTGTCTGCATTTTGTCATTTTAGCATGACTTTGTCTACTCCTCTGTAAACCATTATTTAGAACCTGCATTCTTCTGAAATTGATTTACTCATTTCATCGTGAAAATATTTGTTACACATTATACACTGCCTTTCCTGTGAAAAGAGACTATTCCATTTAATATTGAACATTAAATTAGGGTCATTGTCCTGCACTAGAGGGGGTGAGGGTTTAATAATATGAGTAACCGTTGAACCACTGTGTTGTACTTTTGGAACCAACATAAGATTGTATATCAAGGATACTTCAAATTTTAAAAAATAGGGTTTTTCTCAGTTGTAGATTAGTAACCTGATTTTGTTCCTTTTCTGAATTATGCTGATTCCACGGGTTGCTTACTCAGAAGGCCTGTTATTGATTCTGCATATAATTAGGAGTAAATTGCAATTGTCTTCATTAAATGAAATTTCCTAAATAAGACGGAAATTTCCAACCTCCTCTATTCTTATGTTAATGAGACGTAGACATAGTATTCCATCTTAAACAATGTGACATACTCCCTAGGACTGTATTTGTATTCTTCTTAAAAGGCATACATCCCAACCCAAGAGCAGAACCTGACGGAAAGCAAAGTTAACATGTCCTAAATAATATAGCACAAAACGTAATATATTAATTATTCTTGAAATCGATACAACAATATCATAGACTCTTTGAGCCCAGCCCACCGTCTGCAAAGTAGATATAAATACCTCACCTTAAATGTTCCTGACATGTGGTCCTTACATCTCTACTTGAATAATTCAGTGATTGAGAGTTAAGGACAATGGTTCTTGAACTTGGGTGGGAACGAGTGATCTATGAGCCGCCCATGAACGTTCTTCCTCCTTAGGTCTGTGGTCCAGAAACTGTTTTTAACAAGTTCTGCAGGTGATGTGATTGCATGGCAAAGTTGGAAAACCCCTTCATTTGAAAAGTCACTCATACGTTGAACCTGGATCTGCCTTCTTTGTGTCTCTCCACAGGTCCTCCGTCTCGCCCCAGAGCACCCAGCTGCTCTACCCAGGCACTCTTCAGAAATTTTATTTGCTATCTCAATGCATTTTTAGTCTGTACCAGGTACTTCTCTACTAGGATAGATCAGTGAGCAAGAGGTCTAAGATGTTTGCCTTGGGAGGCTTACATTCTATCAGGGATAGAGAGACAACATCAGTGAATGAAATAAATAACTGAAGTTTAACATGTGTCAGATGGTGATAAGAGTTATCAAATAAAGAAAAAGCAGAGCAGGGTAAAAGGGAATTGGGAATTCTGGGAGATGGGACAAGTTGAGATTTTAAATAGCAGGTAAGGGCAGGCATCAAACAAAGGACGTTTGGGCAAAGACTTAAGGAGAGGTGGTAGTCATTTGTATATTTGGGGGCAAATCATTTCAGAAAAAGAGGAAAAAGCTAGTGGGGAGCCTGCATAGTTTGTTCAAAGGACAGCAAAGAGGACTGCATGCCTGACAGCAGAGTAAGCAGGGAGACGAGAGTCCAGCCGTGAAATGACGCCAAAGGACTAGCAGGTTAGACAGAGCATTAGACAATCAGGGTACTTTGGCTTTTACTCAAAATAGTTTTCCCTTCTCTAGTCCATTCAGTTATTCATCACATAATGGGGTTTCTAACCACATTCACATCCAAAATAAATTCTACAGAGTAATAGGCATGAAATATATTATTCCTCAAAAGAATTGGCATGGAAGTCATCACTGTTGCACATTTTCATGTTAGCAAATGAAATTTCTAAAGATTAAATAATATACCTTGGCTTTTCCTAATTGCTAGGATATCCTTTCTCAATTCACCCAGGATCAATTTGCTTAGAGAATGAAACCAAAATAAAAATCAATATCTAGGGCACCCCAAGGAAAACATTTCAATATGAAATTAAGTTATGGATTAGTAAGTAAGATATTTGTGGTTGGATTCAGAAGTGACTTAAAGTAAAACTAATCAAAACTGCTGTGGAAGGGGAAACTGTGCACCTGTTTTCATTTTCTCCATGTGACATTCATTTACATGTCACAAGTTCCCTCTGTTGATAGGAGGCAGCCATTAGGGGGGAAACTGCCTTGATTTAGCCTGTTTCCCATCATCACTCAGCAGCATCTCATACAATCTGCACCCCTTCCAACTATCCCAACCATCACAGTTGGGACTAATAGATATGGTTAAGAGTAACCTGGCCTGAGATTAAAAATTTAGGGCAGAAGACAGGGAAGACCAAATTACTGTCTTAGCTCTTAAGGGGGAGCCTCCTGGTTAAGATTCAGTCTGAAAAGCTAATGAATAAATGAATGGGAAGCTTTTATCTTGCCATCTGCATCCGTGTGTTTTCTTTGACCTCTGATCAGAGCTGTCCTTCTTAGGCCTTTTGTATTTTAAATCACTGAATTACATTTGACTGTTATGTTTTTAATAGAACTTAACACTCAAAATCTATTTATTAAATCTTACACAAATGGAGGGATAGAAATACTTCTGGCAGTAATACAAGCATATGGTATCCATCAATATCCACATAGGTGTACATGTCAAGACATCTGAAGCAATGGGTTGGGACCTTGCTTTGCAGAGTAGTTATGCCATGTGCAAAGGTCATGAAGTTCTAAGTTGAGAGGTAAACTGAAAGCTTCAGCATTAACAGGAAGGAGAAAGGAACAAGGAAAGGATGACAGCTAAGAGGGCTGTTGAATCTAATTAGAGACAACTAACCTACACCTGTGCCATCAGGATTTCCTAGACCACTGTGAGAAACAGTGACAAGCTACATAAAATATTGATTGGCATTTCCGGCTGGCCACAGCTTTGCCTGGAACACAAATTCTGTTCTGATGGCCAGAGCATATCATAGACACCAGAGTTGACTTTTTCTTTCGCTTTTGAATTCCAGTGGTTTTAAAAGATTTTAAATCTATTGATGAGTGTTGGAATGGTCTTGATATAAATTATGTAATGGCATTTTATAACTTCCAGCATTATTCCCTTCCCAAATATGCTTGCAATTTTAATTTTATTTTTATATGCCTATTGGAAGTTTAAATTATCTGGTGGTTACTCAAACATACCATCACTAGGCACCAGTTGACATCCTGAGTGAATTATTTTTCGTGTCATCATACATTTTCATTATCTGAAGCTGATTTTAACATTTAGATATTCTTTTAAGGAAACAAAAAATAAAAACAAATAAGTCCAGTATATATATACTTGTTTAACATTTCTTTCTTGGAAAGCCCACAAGTTCAAATTTTGGTTGACAGTGCATTCATCTGTCAACAACAGTGAACTTAGATCAACTGATTAAAACAATATGTAGTTCAGGATATAGTTCTGATTGTAAAAAGCAATGCTTTGGTAGATAAAAATCTCTTTGAGTGTCAGTCATGAAAAACCAATTGCCTGTAAGAGAGAGGCTGGCCATACAGCATTGTGACAAGAGAAGTTCAAGTCCAAGTGATGCCTCCCTCTCTTCCTTTTACCACTGTTCCCTTTAAAACCCAGAAGAGAGGGAATCTAACCATTCTGAATCTTTTTGACATGAAAGATAAATTACTTGGTTGTCCAAGGCATTACAACCCATTAAACAATTTGACTGAACTTTCTAGAAGCCAGTTTTTATTTCTTCTGTTTCATTCGCAATGCTTTGGTTATCCTGATGAGGATGCATCAACAATCACAGGGCCCACCGTGGACTGGGCATAACTTTGTGCATTTCTGAAAATTACCATGAAGGAAAAAATGAAATTATGATTGTATTGATACTGTGATTGAAAGTAAATACTCAAACTTCAAAAGACTTCAGATAAAATTAAAGCATAATGATAGATGGGGGGCATTTTAAGTAGTAAATTATATTTAATATTATATAATGAACAAATTTGGTCTTGATGTTTTGGAGGAAAACCCCCCTCTTCTGACTCTTTGGCAACTGATTCAGTAAATTCTGGCTC